GAAAACAGAAGGGGGGGGGGAGAGGCCGGGGACGAAGCACAGAAAAGATTTTGTCACCACCAAAGTCAGGCGCATTCTGCCCCGTCCCGCTTGGGGCCCCCCCAGCCCTGGGCTCCCCCTGCTGAGTCCCAAAAAAAATCCCAGTCACGCCCAGTTGTCTCTCCCCTGCTTGGTCTTCTTCCCCCTGGCAAGCAGGTCACCTGGCCTCCCCCTTCCTTTTTTGTTCCCCAACCCCTTGGGCAGGTGCCTTGCAAAGGAGGGAGAGGACCATGGGCCCATCTTCATTCCCAAGCCGCTATGCTGCAGTCACACCTGCTCTGTAGGATCCTCTGATCCTGCAGTGATCACCCACCTGTCTCCCACCGCCTTGGTCAGGCATGTCCAAAGTGGCCTGTGTTCCGGTTTAATACGGCCCCCCAGGTAATTTGGCAATATCTATCTTTTATGGCCCCCAACGAATCCATATGTATTGAGATGAATACATTGTAAAATCTCAGTTAATGTCAGTTGGTCTAAATCAGTTATAAATATATTTGGACACAACATGTATACTTGGTGTTATGTTCCTGTTCATATTTTTTGAACTTAAAAGTTGACAGACAACCTTTATTACCAATAATATGTAATGTACTTTACAATGTTCCTGACATATATTTCAGCTTCCTGGATTTTTTTTCATCTGGCCTTCAGATATGAAAGGCAGAGTGATTTAACACCTGTTTAGATTTGTCATCCATGTGACGAAATGAAAAGTATGCTGTTTGCAATAAACTTTGCATAAAATAGTTAATTTGCATTTAATTTTAATGGTTCAAAGAATGTCAGGCAAAATGGTCGGCCCTCACGCATGTTCACTTCATCAAATCTGGCCCTCTTTGAAAAAAGTTTTGGACACCCCTGGCCTTGGTCCTGGAGTAACATGGAGGGGAAACTGAGGCACATGCTATGTTCTGAGAATATATTAAGAACATTCCCGCTGTGCCACATGGTGATGTAACAGTGTAGTCGATTAACCACTAAGCAAAAGCTCATCTGTTAATGCTATAGATTCAGTGGTTCCCGGACTTTTCAGCATCACGCCCCATTTTTTATTTTTGAGAAATCCTCCCTCCTGCCCCCCAAAAAATAGCAGCAAAACTTGTTGAGCAAAAAAAAAAAAAAAGAACTGATGTGGGCCAAAAGACAGTCGCGGCTCCTTTAATCTCCACATCACAGAGATTGGGCTCGGTTCTCGGTGGCAACGGAGGTACCTGAACCCCAGGCCAAGGTCATCAATCTGGGATGAGGGGCCTAAATCCCCATGTAGGCTCCATAGCGATGTACAGATCTCCTGGTGAACCCCAGGCAGCTGGACCCAAGTGCCACTAGGAAATTGTGCTTGGGGTGTAAGGCCCATGGGGAGCCCCGGGGTGAGGCCGACATGTTCTTATGTTCTTATGACATGAGAGGCTTTGCCATCAATGCAGTGACAGGTTCGTGGGGCCAGTGGCCGGCTCCCTGACTAGCACACTGGCTGGGGCAGAGTTAAGGGGGTTTTGTCTAGAGCCCAGGGGTTAATTGGGCCCGGCGACTCGCCTTAGGGTACTTGGTGGCAAAGTGCTGACACGGGACAGCTCCAAGGTCAGGCCCAAGGCTGATAGTCAGCAAACCTGGTGCACAGACAAGGAGTGCACTGCCGCCAAACCGCAGCCTGATCCGACCTCTTCCCAGAGCTACTCCCACACAGACCGTATTGGGGTGAGACAGGTTCCCCCCACGTTCTGTCTGGGAACAGGGCCCCTCACCCCAGATTCCCTGTTGCTATCGGGGACTCCCTGGAAGAAGCGTGAGTCTCCCCCTTCCCTGGGATCTGGCTGTCACCTTTCTCACCTGTTGATTTGGTGGCATTAAATGGGTGATGCCCCCAGAGGGCTGTGCCCAGTGGATGTGGTGACTTCCAGGGGCAGGGAGGTGTCAGTGCAGTGGGTTTATTGGCCGTGCCCAGGAGGAGCAAGCGGTGGGAATTAGGGATGTTAAATATCAGTTAATTGAATAGTCGAATAACCTCAGAAATTCTTATAAGTTCCTCGACTGTTCTATAGTCCCCGGGTCCAGTGCCGGCAGCCAGTGCGCTCCAGCTCCACTCCCAAGGAACCCCTTGCCATTCCACACTGCTGCCTCTGTATCAGCAGTGCAAGGTGCCAGGTGGGCACTGGTCTGCGTGGTCCGCGAAGGGAGCCAATTTAAAAAACAATTCCCCTTGAGAACTGGGACTGCCTATCGCCCTGCCTCTAATAAAGAGGCAGCAGAACCTGTCTAGGGAGTGTCTGAGCTCCTGGACCCAGCACAAGCTAGAACTGAGCCAGGCTGCCTGTCCACTTGGCTCCTAATACAGTTTAAAGGCAGAGCCGCAGCGGGGGTAGGTCCTGAACCCAGCCTGAGCCAGGATGCAAATGTAATCAGGGAAAGGCATGTGGGGGCAGGAGGAGAGGGGAGGAGGAGGAAGTTCTAAAAGCATAAGACCTATTTACATACTAAAGCAGTGTTTCTCGACCTTTTTTTTTTATAAAGTACCCCCTTTTTAAAAAAAAAATCACCTAGTACCTACAGTTTTCAGACACACACAATTTTTTTCTTCCATTGCAACACATTTGTTTAAACAATTTAATCATAGCCGGGCAGGCGATGAAATTTTTTGGTGTAAAAAGTACAAAAAAGATAAAGGGCTGGAAAACTATGTTTTCTCCAAATTTCAGTTGTGTTGATGTATCCCTCTTCCCCCAGACTTCTCTCGAGTACCCCTACGGGAACTCGTACCACTGGCTGAGAAACGCTGGTCTGTAGCACTAACCAATAAGCTTTTGCTTCTTGCTCAAGTGACTACCCTAGTACAGCCCTAGTGGGGATCCCGGCTGCCTACAAAATCCCAGAGCCCTGGCAGCACGCGGGATAGTTACATATTGTAAAGTGGGAACATTCCCGCTACTTCTCAGGAGCCTTTCCCTGGGCAGTGTCCCCAGCCTGGCCAGCACCCCCACCACCCTGACTTCTCAAGCCTCAACCACTGTCCCAGGCAGGGCATTGCTGTCAGGGAATGTAAGAGAAAACCCTGAAGCCACAGGAAGAGCCAGGGGACAGAGAGATGGGAGAAGGGGTGCAGCGAGAAATAAGGGCAGCTCTCATAGAATCCTAGGACTGGAAGAGACCTCAGGAGGCAGGGCCAATCCCAACTAAATAAACCAGCCAAGGCTTTGTCAAGTAGGCTTGCCAGATGATTGAAACAAAAATCCCGCCCCTCCCAAAAAAACAGGAAAAAATTCTGTTGAAGGGGAAAAAACAGTGGGGAGACCAAAGTTATTGAGAAAAAAAAAGACTCCAAGGACTTATTAAGCCAAAAAAAAAAAATGAAAATGAAAATAAAACAGCATTAAAACAGGATGTCCCCTTTAAGAGTGAGTGCAGGGATAGAAACGGGAGCGGTAGAGCACTAAGACCCAGGGGAAGCATTGCTTCCCCTAGGTTTTTTGGCCAGCAGCCATTTTGTGCTGGCAGCCTTGGGGAACCAGGTAAGCATGGGTGCTGGGGTTGAGGGGGCTGCAGGTGTTGGGGGCCAGAGGAGAGCGTGGGAAGTGGGGGTGCTGAGTGTGTGCAGGGTTGCCAGGTGTCCGGCATTTTCGCCTCCTGGCCGGGGAAAAATTCAGAGAATTCCGGACATCTCATGTTTCCGGTATTCTCTGACTTTTTTGACCGGACAAGAAGCAAAAATATCGGACTCTCTGGGTGAATACCGAACACCTGGCCACCCTATTGTCGTTTCCGGTATTCTCTGACTTTTTTGACCGGACAAGAAGCAAAAATATCGGACTCTCTGGGTGAATACCGAACACCTGGTCACCCTATTGTCAAGCCAGGACTTAAAAACCTCTAGGGATGGAGATTCCACCCCCTCCCTAGGGAACCCATCCCAGTGCTTCACCACACTGTTAGTGAAATAGTTTTTTCCTAATATCCAACCTAGACCTCTTCCCCGTGGGGTAGAAGTTGAGGGGTCACTCCGCTTCCAGCTTCTTATGTGGTTTAAAAAAGGCCCACCTGTCTCTTGAGTGTCGGGGGCAGCCTGGGACCCTGCTTTGATTTCCAGGCAGGCTTCAGATCTCAGCCAAAGCGGTGTCAAACCAGAGTCTCGGCTGGTTCTGGCAGCGGAGGTGTGTGAATGGGATCAGCTTCTGCCTGCTTGTCCTTGGGACAGGACAGGAAGGCTCAGTCAGTAGCTGCTACCACCAAAGGGCTCTGTTCTTTGCAAAGGTGTTTGTGTCGGCGGGGGGGAGGGGCAGGAAGGGATCCAACAGCATGTGGGGCAGTCCCCCAAGTAACTCCATTGATTCTGCTCTTTTACTGCTGTTTGGCTCAGAGATGCTGTTCCTGGGAGGGTCTAAAGAGCCTGGGGGGAGAGGAGGAATCAGGCTGTGACAAGCCTCTTCTGTAACCTCCCCGATCCCCCCTCTCACCCCGACAGGCTGAAGAATCCTAAGAATTACATCCAGATTTTACTCCAGATCATCCCGTCCTCTCGGGCCAGGACCGGGCAATGGCCGGGATGGAGTCAGCTCAGGTAGGGGGTTTCAGGGAGCTGCTGGGCGGGGGGAGGGAGAGGCAGGGGGGAGAGAGGGGGGGGGAAACCCGCTGAGCTTC